CTCCTGTATCAATCACTTTTCAGTTTTCACTCTAGCATTCTTTTTTACTAGATCATCTTTTTACCTTTTGTTATGTCAAAAAACCAGAACCGTAGTCAGTTGACCGATGCAAATTGAATAAAAAACTACATAATCGGTTACACATGAATTCTTTGCTAGATCGGCTCATAAATATTTATTGATTTTATTCTAATTGAATATGATATATGCAACATGCCTAGGATTATACGTGATATCACAGCTTAATATTTTATAGACAATACATTCCCATAAATGTTTTGTTAACTTTTGTGGTTACGAGTTTTTTTTTAACGAGTAGTTTTCTTTTTCTTTACTTTTTATGTTCAATTGTTTATAGGTTGGACGGTTGGTTAGTCGTACAAAAAAATCTGAAAAATTGGATAGGATCGATTAACCAAATAAAAATAGAAGAGTTGCGGATAATGTATGTTGCACTATGCTTATTCTGGTAATAGTAGTGATTGGAGGATGGATAATAGGAATACGCAGGGGCCGAATATGTCCGGAGGGGGGCGGGGTGAAATAAAAAAGAATAGGATTTAAAATATAAATAAAATATATGTAGTACATTAAATAATGTAATTGTATTCATTAAAGTATTCAAAAATACATGATTAAACGCCGTGTGAGATCAAATCTAGAACGTTACATCTCTCTTGCATGTCATGAAATCATCGATAAAAAAATCCACGATAGACATTTTGACGATTTTGTGGTATGAGGTAATAAATACTAGCAAATGTCTAAAAAAGGTAAACAACTTAACTAAGTATACTGGACCGGACTTGCTAGTCAATAATGAATTAGTAATATACTTGGGAAACTATTTTCAATTTTAAATAATTAGTAAAAGGCAAAAATTGTAATTCTTTACCTCTATTCTAATAGGTTTAATTTTGTGGATGCATCTAGTGTCCACGCGGTCCACCAGAGAATTTCTTTAATTAACATACTTGATATTTGGGCTTTAAATTGCTTCCATATTAAAGTGGGGCTTTAGGGTCAAGTAATACTTTACTTCTATTCTAATGTAATAGTCTTGGGCTCCTAGCAAATACATAATAATACTACTAACCATAAAAATTAAAGTTGGGGGGGGGGGGGGGGGGGGGCAATGGCCCCCTTGCTATTATACATACCTCCTTCCCTTGGAATACGAATGTCATCATGAAATAGTTTGTTAGATAAAAATAAGATAAGTATTCGTATTCCAAATAAAATGACCCTATAAATATTCATCTTTTGTAGTGAACGGGTAACGGGATTTTCTTTCAAAGTTTCTCGCAAAGGTTGATTCCTGAGTGGTATATTAGTATATAGTGACGTGTAATAATTAAACCGAGCGACTTTACACAATGTGATTATTGGAAACGTGATAAAAGAAATATTTTGATGGATCTCATTAATTTAGGGTCCCAAAAAATATATATATGATTGAATTCTATAAAACATGAATATTATTTGGAGAAAGGGACAAAGGTTTATTGATGGAACAACTTACACATTTGAATTATATTTTACTTAAGTACTATGAGCCATAGTTGTAATTTGTAAAGATGGTAAAGTGGCGTATTAATAAGGTGGTGTATTAGTAAAGTGATTTTTTTGTCCCAGTTATAATTAAATAAATATTCCATTATTAACTATGTAGTCTTACACTCTTACTCACTCCGTCTCATAAAGAAATTTCCATTTCGATATATGATATTCGATTCGTGATGAAGTTAAGTGATCCCTGACAAGTGTCAACAATAAGATTATTTATAAATATGTTTTACTTACTTTGAAATTATATTAAAGTTCTATGTATGTCACAATTCTGGTCTTTTTTTTATAAATCAATATATATATATATAAAAGAGGAACTTTTTAAGAGCATACGGCGTGCCACATAATCCTGCCATGTCATCATATATAATAATTACTTAACTACTTTTTTATTTTTTTACATTCTATTTTTTATTGCATATTGATATGGAAACAAAATATTGTACAATCTTTTATAATCCACCTTATTTGATACTCCGTACTAGGTAACTTTTTGAGAACCTTTACTTACTCCATATTATTTGCAATATTATGATACTACGTAACTTTTATAGACAAATAATTATATAAGTTATTTAATTATTTTTGTAGTATCAAAATATATATAAAAGGTTATGTATTATTTTGTAGTAAGTATCAAAGTATTGCTAATAATACATGACCTTTTATCAAAATATTGCAAATAATGCATAACCTATTAGTAAGTATCAAAATATATTTTGAAGTAAGTATCAAAGTATTTATCAAATACATTATATTTGGACAAAATATTTTGTATCAAATTATATAATAAAAAAACGTAAACTACGTAAAAAAATAGTAACTTTTATAGCCATCCCTACACATAAACTATATTTTATATAAATTATTTAAATATTTTTATACCTTTTATTTTTTATTACATTCTATTGAGAAATGAATTATCCGTGTTTTCCCCACCTAATAGATAAATCATCCATATTGCTATTAATTTTGTTCTTCAAAGTTATTTTATAAAAATAAAAAGGTAATAATAGTGTTCCATTTCCTAAATGTGAAATTTTATTTTTCTAAACTCAATCTCTTTTTCAGTATGTTTTCTAAACTCAATGCGATAATGACTAAAATTATAAGCCTTCGCTTAGATAGATTTGCAATTGTGTTAATACTTTCTTAGTTATTGGAAATTATAACCAAAAGATTTTTTAACTTAAAAATGAAATTGATATATACTATTAGACGTTCATATATGAAGACAAGTAAAACTTCTGATCAAGCACCTTACCTTTATAAGAATGGAAATTCATATATGTTTAGTTGTTTCTTTATTTTTACAACTATAATTTAAATATTCCCCCACTTCTGTAATAGATTCCTAATACGAATTAAGAAATCTTCATATATTTAGAATGTTTTTAATTCAACTGATTTCAGTCTCAGACAAGATCAGATCAAACATCAATCATAATAACAAAAATTATTATTATTATTATTATTAATATTATTATACATATAATAGACATCTTCCACACTATATTACTTCAGACCAAATTAGAACTGAAAATGTCAATCTAATTTAAGACTACCTCTGTTCCTCTTATATTGAGACAGAAGAGGGTGACACGATTTTTAAGAAAAGTGGGTTTGTGTGGTTGATATTAATTGATAAAGTAAGAATAAATAAGAATGATTTAGAGCCCCACAAACTTTACCAAATATGGTATGAAGCAATTTTAGTGGGATTTCCCAAAAAGGTAAAATGAGACAATATAAGGTGGACGAAGTGAGTATATCTTATTAATGACGTTTTCAATGTGACGAAATAAATTGGTATATTGTAAAAATGATCCATTTTCTTACATTCTCAATGTGACGAAATAATGAGTAAAATGTATGATCTTACTAATAAATTTACAAATACTTATTTCATACCATGTTGAATGAGAAATATTTAAAAAAAATAGTATTTTGAGATGCTTAATGAAGTAATATAATGTGAAGTTAATTAAGAAACTTTTGTGTGAATTCTTTAAAATCGGATTCATAACAATTATGTTTAGTTCAGATGCTTATGTACAAGTCCATTTTAAATATTTTTCATATAAATTTTAATTTGTTTTATTAATTATATACGTAATACGTAGTATATTTTATTTTACTTTTTCATAGTTTGGGAGATTCCGTCAATTTAGCCCGATCAGTTAGATTTAGTTCATTACGGTAGAGTCATACAATTCAACTAATTTTATATTAGACTGAGTTTATTTTCCTTTTGCATCACATTATATTATACTACATACGTATATGATTCCGAAAATATCAAATTTACAATTAGCTAAATTATGTACTGCCTGTGCATCGCACGGGCTTGAAAGCTAGTACTCAATATATAGAGTAATTAAAACGTTATGAGTAATTTAAGTTGACTAAATCAATAGTGAATGCGAACTTCATTTTGGTAGAGGTAAATGTGACACGATTATGAAGTATTTTCTAGTATCACGTAAAAAGAGTTAAAATATTATTTCAAATGTACATGTTTGCTTGGGCAGCGTTTGGAAGAACATATTACGTTAAGATTAAGAAACCACTTAATTTGTTTGTATATTTTGGTGTTAGCATTTGGATTTCTAGTAAAATAAAATGCCCTTTCAAAAAAATGCAGATCGACTCAGATCAAGTTGGACTAGTGATCTGAAAGTTTGATCTATTTTTATTTAGAAGCCTAGTCAAGCTTAGGAAGTCGGTTGATCCAAAATGATAGGATATGGTGCTAATTAAGCGTGTAGGATCATGCCTAGCCAATTCTTACCTTGAACTTAGTGGTGGGCCGGTTCCGGGCCGACCGGCCCGGCCCGGCCAGAGACTGGCCCGGGTGGGCCCGGCCCAGGGGTTACACAGGGCGGGCTCGGGTCACCCAAAATAGGAACCGGCCCGGTTCAGGCCTATTCTTTTTTTTCTCAATTTTTTTTTATTTTTCCCGAATGGGGCTAGGTGTTTTTTTTTTGGGGGGGGGGGGGGGGGTTGGGGTTGGGGTGGGGGGGTCGGGGGTTAAGTAGAAAAGCAATAAAAAAAAATTGAAGAAGCCCAGGAACCGGCCCGAAGCCAAACTCAAAAAGCCCACCCAAGACCGGCCCGGGACCGGTCCATGCCTACTTGTACTACGTATACTTGGTATAAGAAAGCATAGTCTGATTTCCAAAAGATGATACCCATTCAGTATTTCAGTGCATGCTAAAACCCCATGTACCAAAGAAAACAGACCACTTCTAAAAGAAGAAAAGAAAGATACTCCGATACACACACACATATATTATTATATTATTAATTTATACAAGTAGAGGAAGATATATATTATTATATTATTAATTTATCTTCCTCTACTTGTTTAGCTATATTTCTATTTAAACCTTGTCATTCTAAAATAAAAGCACAAGCGTATTAAATCGAAATTAACTCATTTAATAAACGAAGTTTATTATTTTGTTTAGGCACTAACAAAAAAAAATATAAAAATGAATAAAAATGTCTATATTTTTTTTTGAAAGAAAAAAGGCTAACTTATATATATTAATAAAATCATGGTTCAAGGAGGAAACAATACAATCAGGGGAACATCAATCCAAACACAACGACCAGACATAGAACCGGCCGCCTTAGCCAAATCATGGGCTGCCCGGTTCGCTGATCGTTTCACATGAGAAAACTCTATGCCAGTAATACTGGCTGATATCTCGTTAATATCATCAACAATAATACCGAAAGCTGACTCGTTTCCCTTGCTTTGAATAGCCCTTGTAAGTTGGAGTGCATCCGATTCAACATCAACATTTGACCAACCAGCCGTTTTAATCCAGCTAAGAGCTTCCCTTATTGCCAATGCCTCCGCTTCACAAGGTAAACATTCTCCCACACGGTTTATAGCATCCCCGCAAAGAATAAACCTTCCCGGTTCCTTGCTATTCATCCTAATCTAACGCTTCCCGTCCCATTTTTAATAGCTGCATCGGTATTCACTTTAATTCGACCTTCCGCAGGTTGCAACCAGTTTGTCGGGGACTTAAGTTGCTGCTGCAATACCCCTGTCCGTTGTTGAGCTCGCTGCCACCCGTCCAGAAATGCCAAAGCTCCTGCAATAATGCTTCCTGGTGGTGTATAAACTTGCTTCCAGGTTCTATCACATCTTGCTCTCCACAAACCCCATAAAAGCATGATTAAAGTGCTGCAAAACTCATCATCATGGCTGGAAAAAATAGATTCTATCCAGTTATCCAGTCCACAAAATTGGAGTCTGCTGTAAAAGAAAAGCTCCACTTCATCAACTTCCAAACCTGTTGAGCTACTGAACATAATCTATATTTAAGTTGATATGTATATGTATGTGTGCGTTGTGTGTGAATTACATATAGGTCCAAATAAAGTGTCACTTCATGCAAATGGAAATAACTCTTCATTGGATTTGAGATCAAATTACTATAAATATACCCAAAAAACAATACATATTGTGGATCTTTCCAACCAGCGGCTCGAACTTTTTTAGCCCTTGTTCAAATTTTGTTCTGGGGCAATTGATGTGGTGCGCGGTTCCCCACCAAAGAGATTTTGGAAATATACAACCATTTTGAAATTACACGCACGACCATTATTCCCTTTCTTGTGTGAATTGTAATGTGTTGTTGAAGTGTGTGGTCTTTGTTCATTTATTTTTTTAGACAGTTACTGGACCTCTGAATTCTCTCTTTATTTCTTTTAGTGTGAATTTGTTAAGTAAATAAACTTATTAATTTAATAGTGATTTTATTGATTAAAAATAAACCAAGGCTTATTATTATATGAATTTGTTGCATAATTTGTTAGGTTAGTTATGTTAAAATTTCTAATAACGTGTGAAGAATCTTCAAAAACCTCTACCAAAAAAAATTAAAAGGTGTGAAGAATCTTCAAAAACCTCTACCCAAAAAAATTAAAAGGTCAAAATTATCTCTTGTTGAATTCAATTCTGATCCATAAGGTGGTTGCTATTAAGGTTTACGTAAATCTATTTGTGGTTTTGAATTTTTTGAGTAGAGATCATATCCGTTTCAAGTACTATAGATATTTTTTAATTGGATTGAAATTTTCTAGGGTATTTGGTCTGGTCTGGTAGATGTTTGGTCTGGTCTAATCTGATCAGGTCGGGTCTGGACTGAAAAATAGTCTAAGTAAAAACATCCTAATTAAATAGGGTTTTTGAGTAGTTTTGATTCTTCATCGGAGCATGTTTCTCAGCACCCCTTCTGGTTCCGCCACTGGATGCAGTTGTGGGAAGGAAGAGAAAAGATCGAGATGTACCTTGGAGAGCATAATTGGACAACCCCGAGACTCGTAGAGATCGAGGCTCTTCATTGGGTTTACAACTTTCTCAGTAAAACCATCCTGCCAGGTAGTAAACGAAGTTAAGATTTTAACCCACAACAGCAGGGAATATTTTAAGCCACAAAAACTATTTAATAGCATAGAGGAAAATGGAGTAGGGAAAAATGGCAGGGATGAAAAAGACCTCAAAGGACTCATTATCTGGTCTGAAGCTAGTTCAGCTTCAACGAACAAGCAATAAAGGTCTCATTATCTGCTCTGAAGCATTTGAGAAGCCATTTCCAGGAACGAGCTGATTGCAGAAGAAAAAATAAAGTACTTACAGATGAATGTCTTATACCATTATCATTAAGCTAATTCCAGGAACAAGCGCATTTCATTCTTCATTGTGAATTTTTCTTAATCTTCTAATTCAAACAAAACTCCCTCTCAACCAGCACAGTGACTTCAAGTTTCATGTATGTCACGACACAAAAAAAGTAGCAAAGACAAACATGTGTTATCTCAAGCACATATTAATCATTCAGTGTTGTACCTCGTTTCACAATATCAAATTACAACTACTTCAGAAGTATTCACAATCATGAGAAGATACAAAACAATGTGCTAAACTTCTACCAGACTTGTAATTTATTTTGTAAGTATGAGCGATAGACATTGGAAAAATAGTCAACATGGCAGTTATCAACTAGAAACTAGAGAAATAGCTATTGAAATTTCGTTGAGACTTTTTTACAAACACTTAAAAGCCATTGGAAAACTAAAAACTAAGGACACGTTTACTTCACGGGTTACTAAATGGTGCTTATTAAGACCCGCGTTAATAAGCGGCGCATAAAATAAGCAATGTTGTAAGATCATGTTTACTTCAAAGGTTTTAAAACACCGTTTAACATTAAAATGTCCAAAATAACCCTATACATATATAGACACACAAACATTTATGAACATAAGTAATATGTGGGGTCACCACGTACATGTACCCATACCCCTAACCGCTACCCTATACCTGTAACCCCCACCCCTACCCTCATTCCACACCCTTGACCCCTACCCCTACCCTTACCACGACCTTACCCTCTAAACTACTCCTCTACAACCCACCCATACCCCTAACAACTACCCTACTTGTAGGATGAGGTTGAGGTCGGGGTGGGCTCGAGGTAGGGGAAGGTGGTAAAGGGGTCGAGGTAGGGAAGGTAAGGGGTAAGGTACGAGGGTGGGGGTGGGGTAGGGTGGGGTCGAGGTGGTAGGGGGGTGGCGGTAGGATGGCGGTAATGTGCGGTTGGGATCGTGGTGGGGCTGAGGTAGGGCATGTGGTAGGGGGTGGGAGTAGGGGTCAGGGGTAGGGAAGGGGTAAAGGGTAAGGTACAAGGATGGAGGTGGTGGGCAGGGTGGGGTCGGGGTAGTAGGGTAGGGAGGGGTGGGTAGAGGGTAGCAGATAGAGGGGTAACAATAGGGTAAGAGCAAGGGGTAAGGGTAAATTCGGAAACTGAAAAAGCTTAAAGTGTCGCTTAAGCACCTCTTTCGGTTAGTAAACAACTTTTTAAGCAGCGTGCGGGTTTAGTTCACCCTTCTTACTTTTTAAAGTCATAGATGCTTATCTTAAATTGAGTTCAATTGAAGAAACCTGAAAAACATCATTACCAATAAACAGTGCTACGCATTTAGTTTTTTAGGCTCTATGAGATGAAGTGAAATGTATTTCTTTTGAACATACTCTATTACATACATTCATATGTAAGCCACATTTTTAAAATATACATAACATTATTTATAGTTTTTCTTTGGTGATGATATTAGCACTACCAAAGTCATTGGCATTTTCTTGGCAATGTAACCGACAAGGCAGTTATCTTTTAGAAACTAAAGAAATAACAATTGAAAATTTCATTCAGGCATTTTTACAGACACTTAATAGACATTAGAATACTAAAATACTAAGAACTAATTTCGTCCATGGCCATCTCAAATTGAATGCAATTAAATAAATCCCGGAGAACAATATACATATATCGATCAAGATTTTGATTTTTTTTAAAAAAAATAGCAGTTAAGAGAAGCATTTTTTACCTTGGGCGAAGGGGACAGAACAACTCGTACTAAAATTCAAGCAACGAGCGTCCATGGAACTTGGAAGAGAAGCTGAATTACCAGCAACATATGGTGGAGAAGCGGTGAAAGACGGTGGAGCAGCGGTGAAAGACGGTGGAGCAGCGGCGGATGGTTGTGCGTAGCTAATCGGCGCTAAATCGTGGTCTTGGGCGATGGAGATGCAGCAAATCGTACTAAATCTGAGTCTTGGGCGACGGAGATAGAGCAAGTCGTACCAACTACAAGTCCATGGAAAAGAAGCTGAAGCAGCGGCAACCTATTGTAGAGCAGCGGTGAAAGAAGGTGGAGCAGGGGCGGTGCGTTCTGAGGAGGGCCAAATTTCAGTGCAAGTCGATGTACCTAATGTACGAGCGAGCTGGTTAGAAACACGTAAAGGCCTATTTGGCCATAGACCGTTAGCTTTTAGTTTGTTGCATGTGATGTTTTTTTTTTTTTGAATAATTGTATGTGATGTTTTAGTTGGTTGATTATACTCCATTATTTTATAGTGAGCATTTGATAAATTAATTGTTTACAAATAGTTGTTTAAATGTAAAAAGACACATAAGGACATTAGCGTTTAATTTTATAATTAGCTATTGCTTGTAAAACGATATTTGTCACAATTATTTGCAGAATTCTCCGTATAAATTATTCATATATTAGAAATTGATAAATAAAATTGAATGAAAAATAAAATGAAATAAAATAAAAGAACACTAGTCTCTATACATACTAGGGGTGGGCAAACGGGTCTTGGAACCACGGTCCGGTCCGGGTAATGGCGGTTCGGGTCCAAAACGGGCCGGTTCCATTTTTTGTTGCCATAAAACGGTCTGGGTAGGTCCGGGTAATTTTTTTAAGGACCCGGGCCGGTTCCAAAATAAAAAATACCGGGTACCCGGCCCAGCCTGCTATATACGAAGTATATATTGTATGTTAATTTATTAATAGTTTTGTGATAATCGGTTTTGAAATAGTTTTGTTTTCCTTTGCTAGAGTAAGATTTTAAATTGAGTTGCAGTAACATCATTTTGGTTTCAAATTATTGATTAAATTTTACATAAATTTCTTATTATTTTTATTGTTATTGAATTATTCCTTTCTATGGAATTTAATTATTTGTTAAAAATGATTTTGTAATATTTCTTTCTATAATATTGTTCTTAAAATATATAAACTTTGATTACCACCCTCATGTATGTGTCAACTTTGGCTAATACTGAAAATTTGTTCTTAAAATATATAAATTGTGATTACCACCCTCATGTATGTGTCACCTTAATATGTGATGTTAGACAACATTTTTAATTCAAATGTTAGAGAATATGTATTTTGGCTATGTTGCTGATTTTTGGAACATTAATTGTTTGAAACTTATATACATGAAATTATGGAGTATTGGACTTGTCACTACATGTGCACCACTATGTTGTTATTTTAAAACTTGCTAATGTACTATATTATTAATTATTGATTTTTGGAACTTTGTGAGTTTTTACTAATTTTAAGACATAGGAATAGAAACCGTAAAACCCGGACCGGACCGACCCGTTTCAAACGGGCCGGGTAAGGTCCGATTCCTATTTTGAAAATTGCAATACCCGGACCGGACCGGACCGTACAATGGAACCGGAAGTTCCATTTTATTTTGCATTATCCGCCCCGACCCGGTCTATGCCCAGCCCTAATACATACACACACCTGCGATTCGTACTTGCACATAACATGAGTTTGATTATCAACTATAAGTAATTTGGAAAATTAAATAAATCTAGTGATGACTAATCTGAATCCAATATTTTTCTATTCATAATTTTAACCCGCCCAGGCAAGAACACATTTTTATTAATTATGAATATGACCCCGCATCAGCATATCATAACAGTTAATCATTAACCCATATTAAATGTGTGTTATACAATGCATATTTTGCACTAGTATATATTACGCAATATTTAAGTTTGATACAATTGAGTCTGCTTATGTATGACTAAAATAATCAAACTCATGTCATGTGCAAGTAATATTTTGACTTTAGACTAAAATAAGTCCAAGTAAAAACATACTAAGCGCGTAAACCATGCACATGAAATCTCATACAATTAATTGAAAACCCCAACAACCTTAATTGAAACCCAGTGAAGAGTGGCATATAATTGGAAAGGTAATCTAGAAATCGCATACACATAAGGAATAAAATGTATCTATTGATCAAGTAATTAATTATTTTTTAAAGGAAATGGTTACCTGAGAGGCCGAGTAATCCGTTTATCAAGTAATTAACTATTTCCGTATGTGTCTATATATGCATACATTAAGCTATTCTTTGGGGGAGGGGATCATATATGACCACAATATCACCTGAATTAATGTGTCATTATTATCAATACTGTGCTTAGTGTTTACCATTTCCAGTGTTAATAAAATGGTCAAAGTAAAAGATTCACAATTATATTAGCTTGACTCTTCCAACATGATAATAACAAATAATAACATAAATGCACCACTCTAAATCATTATTTGGATTAACTAGCTAGGGTTTAAATTGCCAGAAGCTGGAAAGTTGGAATACACATACAATTCCCAATGAGCTAAAACATAGACATGTTAAAGACATAAAAACAGGATAATTGTCCATCCATGCATGACTTATGTATGCGCATGTTTGGCATTGTATTTCGACAAACAGAAAGTGCCTTTAAAATGTACTTCTCAAGTTGAAAATGTTCTCACTTTTTGTTTTCTGTCCCTGGCTACAAAAGAACTCCAAACGTTTGCTCTTAATGTGTTGTAGGCTAGCTAGCTAGACTTTGGCCCAATAGTCAAAGTATTAATTTCCATCTTGGACCAAGACTGCCCCACTGATAACATTGTAACAGAATAGCCATTAAGCCCAAAACTACTTTTGGACTCATATATAGGCCCTTTAGCCTAAATGAGATGAATAATCATTATGGTCTAAACTAATATATATACATCCAAATCTTATGGGCCTTTTTGTTTTAATTCACTTACATACCTTCTAGAAATTATTGTTTTGAATAAAAAAATGGGTTTTCTTTTTAATTTTAATTTTGACTTCCAGAGCCTGAGCTCCTGCCCTGATAAATATGTATATAGACAGTGTAGCCAGGTCAGTCAGATACATATCTATGTTATGATTCTATTTGATGAACTTTTAATAATAATCAATCATAAAAGTCAAATCAAGGAAATTGTGAGGTTGTGAATCATATGGGATATGCGATCTAATTGGAGGGACATGTTTCCACTAAAGTTGTTATTGGTATGATGACAATATAAAATGATATAAAAAATATAAAAAAATGGGAAAAAGGCAATTGGGGCGGGGCCGGGGTTTCCTACATACGAGAATGCCTGGCGGGTCCGAGGAGATGGTCGAGCCATTGGGAAATCCTACGCAGCAGCCTAAAAATGCAGGTTTCAACGCCCCTTCACGTGGCCAAGGTGATCACCTTCACGTGGCCCGAGGGCCCCACAATGGCCCTTGTCATACAGTTTAAGGGGAGGAAGCATGGATCATGGTCATGGCCTATGGGTGTCTACCCTCTCAATAATACCCTTCTCTCTAATCATGCCAAAAAAATCTGAATCACTCCTCTTTTGGGCGCACACCATATTTTTTTCCTTATTTGGTAGGTTGCCATGTAATTTTTCTATTTTTGTTACTTTTCTACTCCTCTCTAAACTTCACCAAAAATCCTTTTTTTCCAAAAAAAGAAGTCTCTCAGTCAACATTTTTATTATACGTGTGACATTTGATTTCGCGTGTTAAATATTAAAATAATTAACATTGAAGTTTAATTAAATTGACTGAAGTTACCGCAAGAGTCATGCATTTTAGTTATTTTTCTTTAATTTTTTCATAATATATATTTTAAATATAATTTATTCATAATTTAGCACAATCAATTGTTTCAACGAGAACATCATTAATTTCAGCAAATTCATCCGATTCCGCCAATTTAAGTGTTATCAAATGGGCTATAAATTTCATTTTCCTTTTACCGCAAATATTTTGTGGTTCATATCATTTATCTCTCCTCGCTATATATTTATTAACGATAAAATTTTTACTTGCGTAATCTACGTCAAAAGTCAAAACATATGTTATGATGTTTTTGCTTGACTGGATTATTTTTGTCTGATCTGATCTGGTCTGATATGGTCTGATTTGATCTGGTTTGGTCTGAACTGATCTGCTCTAGTCTGGTCCGGTAAATGTCTGATCTCTATATATTTTACAACTATCAAAATCTGATCTAATTTGATATGCTACATATGATATGATAGTAAAGAGAATCAAGTAAAAACTTCCTAAATGGGAGAAGAGAATAACTTAGAAATTTAGTCCTTTTTTGTCTTCTAGCCATGCCATGGCCTAAGAACCAGCTGCTATCTATCTGCATGTGGGAATGGGACTGTGACTTTGAATTTGTACCTTCATTCCATACGTCATCCATTGCATCATCTCATACATCATCCCACACGTCATACAGTGGATCCCCACCACTGAATAAAACTTAATTACTCATATTTATTACTCCATATATTATATCTTAGAATAATGTGAGTATTTAATATGGTGCAGTGGAAACATAGTTTCTTTGGGGAGCATATTTAATATTTGTACCATCTTCAGTACCAGCAAAGTGGTTCACAAACCGTTATATGCTGTGTTTTGGTCACTCCTAATTACCTACTTAAGAAATAAATTGCAATGTTGAATACGTCGGCGAATGCGTCATATTGGTAGGATCCCAGGGGTTCAGCACCATATCTAGATATATAAATACGTTGATACACATAATAAATAGACATTAAGTTGAAAAATAAACCTTACTACGGAGTATATATTTATGAATAAGAAATGGAGTAGTTACTACGAAGTGTTTTATAATATAATTAAGGAATAATTAATAAGGTTTCTTTCGGATCGGGCGCATAATTGATATCTGGAGTACCATTTTTAGTACCTGAAAAGTGCCAATGTGGTTAACAAAAACAGTTACTCCGTATGTTACTATATATGCCTTAATTGATATGATACTTTACGTACTAAGTACTCCGAAGCTAACTAATTAATTAGCTTAAGACATAATTATAGAATAATAAACTAAAACAGACTCTGCTTTTGAGATCCGGCGACAAGTCAAACTTGACTTGGATGTGGTTTGGTAATGAAATGTAATTACCTCCAATCATTTTGCTCTCAATGAAGTATATCAAATTACGTTGTAGTTTGTGCTACACGGGTCAAGTGTAAAATATTTAATCAATAATTAAGATTATTGACTAAACATTCCATCAATTTGACCTTTAGATTGACAATCATCATCTAGGGTATAGTAG